TCCTCCTACTATAAATATTCTACCTAAATGTAATATCCTCTTCTGGTGAGTTTTGTCTCATTACAGGAGGAATAAAGGGGGAGGGGAGGAAGGGTTGGGGGTGAGGGAGAGAGGTAATAAGAGGGAACGAAGAGTAAATATTTTCCGTTGGTAGGTTTTAGTTTTGCTGTTGTTTACCAAAAATATCGGCTTTGCTCACTACAATATCGGCTTTACTCACTAGGATATCGGCTTTGCTCACTACAATATCGGCTTTACTCACTAGGATATCGGCTTTGCTCACTACAATATCGGCTTTACTCACTAGGATATCGTCTTCGTTCACTAAAATATCGGCTTTGTTCACGAGGATATCGGCCCTACTCACCATATTACTGGGTGTGCTCGTGGTAATCTCAGCTTGGGTCACGCTGACACGGTCTGGATCCTCATAGTAGAAGGGAGGGTCATCGTCACTGTCGCCTGTGGCCGGGTCGAGCACTTCATTTGCGATGATGATCTGGGTACTGTCCCCCCCTATGCTGGTACTGTCCATGGTGGCTGAGGAGCGGTCCTTCAGGGGATAGTAGTACGACCCACCACGACTACCACCACCACCACAATCACAACCAGGGTTTAAGGATACGACTCGTAGGAATGAAGTACAGTCGACTAGAGATGCAACCAGCAAGTGATACGACCATTAGGGTTTGGTCTGTGGGTTAAAACGCTCGGAATGATACTGTAGAATATGACAAGAATCTCGACTAGGGATGCTACCACTGAGGTTAGACCCGGGAACAACAACAGAAATGCTGAAGGTGAGGGATAAGAATGCTGGCGAGGCGAGAGGGGGCGGGACGTGTTAGGGCAGCGATGGCAGTAAGTGGGTGCTGACAGGTACACTGCTGGAGGCACTACTATTACAACAATGGTCGGCCGTGATAAGTGTTGAGGGAGGAACGGCGGCGTGACGCTTCCCACTATCAGTTCTGAATGGCACACTGTACATCTGGGCCTGCAGTGTTTGTGTCTAGCACGATAACTCGGCCACTTTTTTTTTTTTGGCACTTACCTACATCCTTGTGTAAGGAGAAGCGCAGAAGCGTTTACAGCACCCAACAGGGAAGCATGCTAAGTTCATGCTTGCCTTTATGTCTCATGAGTTAAGGGCGTAGAAGCGTGAAGAGTCAAGGGCGTAGAAGCATATTCTTAACAGGCAAGTGATTGTTTTTATTATCCAATATCAAACGGCAGAAGCTCGTTAGTACAAGTCCTCATCCGCGCGGCTAATTAACTACAAACTGGAAGAGGGATTACTGTACCACAACAACGACTTCCTAGTTCAGTGTATTATTATTATTATTATTATTATTATTATTATATTATTATTATTATTATTATTATTATTATTATTATTATTATTATTATTATTATTATTATTATTATTATTATTACCACAACTACTGGACATGGTATTGTATTCTGTCGTGTGTGTGTGTAATAAATAATAATAATAATAATAATAATAATTAACGGTTTATTGAAAAAGTTCTGCAGCCCGAAGGCTGAAGATATACATGGACATAAATGACTTATTACATACATTGACATTGGTGTTTTAACAGAAGCCTTCATTAGAGAAAGGTAAAGGAACATAGTGAACATACAGATTAATGTTTACAGTGGAGGTCACGTAGGTCTTGTGCCCTGAGGTGTTGAACAGCAGCCACGTGGTTTAGTAATTCCCTCACAGATGGTGTTATGGAGGACCTCACGTGGTGTAGTAATTCCCTCACAGATGGTGTTATGGAGGACCTCACGTGGTGTAGTAATTCCCTCACAGATGGTGTTATGGAGGACCTCACGTGGTGTAGTAATTCCCTCACAGATAGTGTTATGGAGGACCTCACGTGGTGTAGTAATTCCCTCACAGATGGAGTTATGAGGGGCCTGATGTGATGTAGTAATTCCTCACAGATGGTGTTATGAGGGGCCTGATGTGGTGTAGTATATCCTCCCTCACAGATGGTGTTATGAGGGGCCTGATGTGGTGTAGTAATTCCCTCACAGATGGTGTTATGAGGGGCCTGATGTGGTGTAGTAATTCCCTCACAGATGGTGTTATGAGGGGCCTGATGTGGTGTAGTAATTCCCTCACAGATGGTGTTATGAGGGGCCTGGCGTGGTTTAGTAACTCCCTCACAGATGGTGTTATGGAGGACCTCACGTGGTGTAGTAATTCCCTCACTGATGGTGTTATGAGGGGCCTGACGTGGTGTAGTAATTCCCTCACAGATGGTGTTATGAGGGGCCTGATGTGGTGTAGTAATTCCCTCACAGATGGTGTTATGAGGGGCCTGACGTGGTGTAGTAATTCCCTCACAGATGGTGTTATGAGGGGCCTGACGTGGTGTAGTAATTCCATCACAGATGGTGTTATGAGGGGACACCACGTGGTCTTGTGTGTGTGTGTGTGTGTGTCCGTCCGTGTGTCCAAAATAACTCAAGAGGAGGAGAACTGCGGTATTGCCCCAGACTTTGTGTAGAGTTTATAGACTATATAGAGTTGATCAACATGTGACGAGGTCCGCCCAACCAGAGAACGTTGTTGTTCTTTTCGTTAGTATTGAGTCATTAGGTTAAGGGACACGCGATCGCTAATTACGCGTTCATATTAACTGATGACAAGACAGCATACCGATCACCTGAAGATTAATCACCCGAACACTAACCAAACCCAACCGAATCTACAATAACCTCACCTAACCTATCACCCCACAGGTGGCTTAGGGTGCTTAATCTTCAGATGAAATAATGAGATGGATGATAATAATAATAAAAATCACTAGATAGCCCGAACATTATATAAGCTACCTCCACACGTTGCTCCACGGTCTAAGCGTATATCCACTGCCCTTATTAGACCCTACTTATCAGATAGAGTTGAGTGACCTGAATTTTACTTAACCTTGCGTCATACTGTATGTGTTTAATTTTTCTTATTATTATCTTTCTTTTTTGTTTTTATTATTTACAGTTCATGTTTTTTGTTTTTTTTCTGTTAATGAGCACAGTAGCAAGTTTTTATTTTATTTTGGAGGGAATTTAAATAAAAAATTTTGGGGTCGTGTTTTTTTCTTTTTTATTTATTTATTTATTTATTTTTCTTTTAGGGATTTTTTTATTGTCAACGTGATGGAATATAAAGGATTCTTGTGGCGTTGTGGTGATGGTGTTGTTATTGTTTTGGTGTTGTGGTGGTGTTGACGGTGGTGTTGACGGTGGTGTTGTGATGGTAGTGAAGTAAGGTGGATGCTCCGTATGAGTCATCTGGACGCCTCTCTCTCGTGTTATCTTGTTGGGAAAAACTCACAAGTGTCACATGATAATTGTCTTCAGAAATAAGTTGTGATGTGTGTGGTAATGGAAGGTGAGGAGGAGGAGGAGAGGTGTGAGGTGCATGTATGGGGCGGGGCGGGGCGGGGCGGGTCAGACATACGGTGATAATGAATAATAATCCCAACAGCGGAAAGACACCTACGGGCCACAATACCTACCACCATTGTTATGTCTCTTCCCCCTCTCTCGTTACAATGGGCTACGTCACACACCCTCTATCACATCAACGTCACAATGCGCGTTACACCCAGAGACCACCACTAAGTGAGTTGGGTTATCTGATCCATTATTAAGGTGACAAAGTTGTGTGTACAGTATATGATTGTCTCCTAGCCGTCATGAAAATCTCTCTTTTACAAACGTCTAATACTTCTTATCAGTGGTACGGGGAGTAGAGAGTCACATACCAACTGACTAACTTTAGGATCAACCACCGCTCTTACGCCAAGGCCGACCGGTTTAAAATGTATGTAGGAAAAAAAAGGTCACAGCTTAGTTACGTCTTAATTTTTATACATGTCGAATTTGTTTTTACTTTTGGATTGTTTTAGTTTTTAATGACCTAACAAAACACATTCAAAATCTAACCTAACGCCTAACCGCCTTAAAATGCTTTGGTTTTAACATTTTATTTCTTAATGGTATTTACATAGTGTAACTTTTTTTCCTAGCTAAAATTATGACTTTCTGCGACTTTTTTCCCCCTGTGACTTTTCTTCCGTTACCCGATTATGACACCCGCTCGTCTTGCCCGGTCGGGGGATATACAGTAGGGCGGCATCACAGATTTTAAAGTATTATATAGTACTTTATAGTGACAGTGGGTAACCTGTATTTACTGTAAGTCCGAGGAGAATAAATCAGGATAGAGTGACTATTAACCTTGTCACAAATGCATCACTAACCTAACCTAACTTCTGCCAGGTGTGCTACGTAAAATGAGAAGCTCATTGGCTCGCCATATTGCTACAAAAAAAATGAGGAATGCAAAGCGAGGTTTTATAGATTATCTGAACCAAATGCCAATATTAGCGAATGTTTATGACACACACACACACACGTTATAGACAGGGTTCTAAGTCTGTTATGAGAGAGCAACATCTAACTTAACCAGATGGACAATTTTGAACATCTAATAAATAACATAAATTGTGATGATAGAATGTGAAGGAGAAATGAATACGTAAGGTGAAGGAAAAAATCTTGGATATCTGTTTGGAAATAAAAAATAATCTAAGCTGAAGTAAAAGGCTACTGAAGTGCTATGTATGTTTACCACTGTTGTACGGTTGAGAACGTGAACATTCATCAGACGGCAGAAGGATGCTCGAGTAGAATGTTGGGGTGAGTTGTACGAATAGATAAATAAATTATAAAACTACTGACAATAGCTGGACCTACGAGAGAAATAAGGAAAAACAGGTATTTTGACATTATAACCATGGGAGAGGGATAATGGTAGAGTTATTATTGGGTTATTTGAGGCTATAGGGACCAGGTTAAGGCAGAGACTGGGGAAGATAATCGTAGTTGTTGGGAAAGTCTAGTGGACAGCTGTGGTCACCAACCCACAGATCTGAGGATGGCAGCTTAATTGAATGAATATGTGCGTGACGTACCTCGCTGCAGGTGGAGAGCTTGGTGTAGCGTGGTGAGCGTCCCAAGATCATCATACTGAGTCCTAGGTCCGTGGAGGCGGGTCCTCGCCCCCAGGGTGTTCCTGCCCCAAGGGTCTGGCAGGGAAAGGAGGGATCGTGCACTACAGCTGATGGCTTCCTCTCCACATCCACAGGTGTCGCGTATTCCTCCAGTTTCATAGAGGACGTGTACCACTCCTCTCCACAGGCGAATACTTCCTTACTACCATAAGTAACAGTATCTCCTGGGTACTCACATGTGCCACAAATGACAGGCTTCGGTGCACTCACAGCTGATGATTACTGTTAGACGCTCGCAGGTGTCGGGTTCTCACGACACTCAAAGGTGATGGTTCTCCTGGTCCTCCACATGCAGGGTAGACTACTAGGCAGGTGAAATAGTATTGAAGAACGAGCAGGAACTCTCACTTCAGCCCCTCACAAGGTAAATAAATAACACTAAACTAAGGCGAACTTAATGACACTATATACACAGGTTGTTTCCGGGTTAACTCACTTGCTTTCTGTAACAATTACTTGTGTTGTACGTCTTCAGGTCCACTGGTGTATGACTGCCTTAACGTAAACAGTTTCGCTTGACACTACAGGATGAGATATATGACTGGGGGTCAGAGCTCGTGCACTATTATTCCAGAGTTAAGTCACTGGTGAGCCTCCACCACTGAGGTAGCTTGCGGTGTGTGTGTGTTGGGGGGAGGGGGCACCCGCAGTGTGTCACTATTACCACAACCTTGGATGGGCGGGGCCTGGGGGTGGTAAGGAGGGTCGTAGAGGGCGGTGGGCGAGTTGTAGAAGGCGGTGGGCGTGTTGTAGAGGGAGGTGGACGGCCTGAGTGGGGATATGTAGGGTAAAAGAAGGGCGGGATGGATTGTAGGAAAGGTAACGGTGTTAAGACATGATCAGTTAAGAGAGGCTCAGGAATGGACGAGCAAGTTGTGGGGCGACGATAAAAAGTGGCTCTTGAAAGCGAATTGGATCACTGGGTGGGTGGAGTAAAGGGTGAAGGTGGGCGGGGGTGACGAAGGCTGTGGGTGATCTAGGCTGGACGACAGAAGGAATACAGGTGATATGGGTGGATGGGGTCAGTGGAGAGGTGGGCAGTGAGGACGAGAACCGTGTGTCAGGTTCAGCCAGTAATCACCATTGTGGTAGTATGGTGTTTGTAGTGGTCGTTGTTGCACACTGTATGGTGGTTGTAGTGGTTCTCGTTGAGTGGTGGTTATACGGGGTGGTTGTGGTGCCCGGTGCCACGAGTTAACAGTGCCATTGCAGCTTGAGACGACCCGACCATCACCTCCACCGCTGCCCGACGTCCATACTGATGCTGCCCCTCACCAGTCCTGTAACTCTCACTGATGGGGCAAGTGGCTTTATGTTTGGCTGTGAGACTGGCTGCGTTACTGGGTGTTGAACTGGCTGTGAGACTGGCTGCGTTACTGAGTGGTGAACTGGCTGTGAGACTGGCTGCGTTACTGGGTGTTGAACTGGCTGTGAGACTGGCTGCGTTACTGGGTGGTGAACTGGCTGTGAGACTGGCTGCGTTACTGGGTGGTGAACTGGCTGTGAGACTGGCTGCGTTACTGGGTGGTGAACTGGCTGTGAGGCTGGCTGCGTTACTGGGTGTTGAACTGGCTGTGAGACTGGCTGCGTTACTGAGTGGTGAACTGGCTGTGAGACTGGCTGCGTTACTGGGTGTTGAACTGGCTGTGAGACTGGCTGCGTTACTGGGTGGTGAACTGGCTGTGAGACTGGCTGCGTTACTGGGTGTTGAACTGGCTGTGAGACTGGCTGCGTTACTGAGTGGTGAACTGGCCGTGAGACTGAGGAGGGCGACGCTCTTGCACTCTCCTGTGGGAAGAAATAAATATGTAATTGTTGTCGAACACAGCCCAGGTGTGTCGTCACCACCACCTGTAGAGCTCCACAGTCGCCACTTCACCTATTTTGCTCGGTATATTCTTGTGCTACTGTTGGGCGGTGAGTCTAATTATAATTTAAAGCCATCTACCAGGGAGAGAGAATTGATAATTCACATTAAAACTTTATTTTAATTGATCGATGAACCATCGCCTATCAGGAAGAACTTAGGTATTTGAAATGAAAACTGTGAATATATAGTTGATACACTGAGAGTTGGATTTCTGGTATCACTTACAGGTAGATTATTGGTACAATATGAGACAAACTTAAGCTGCCACACAGTGTAAGGTAAAGTGAGGTGAGTCAGGAAGGTGTGCTAACTTATCAAGGAAGGTGATCTTTGTCCCCTACGAAGACCATGTGGGCCGTGGATATATAAAATTTAGTTATCTCAATATGCATATCAGTAGGTACTCTCTTCTGTATAGTGTGTATGTGTGTGTGTGTGCGCGCGCTGAACCTGTTAACACCACTTGGCAGTACACCGTGTGTCATTTTACTTGTTTTTATATTAATATCTATTTTTGTTACCGACATTAAAAAAATCACTCCCATTTTATACTAAGTTAGTTAATAGCCAATAAGACAATCATCAATCCTCGAAAAGTAAAGATATGTTTTTCTTTGTGTATGGCTGGCCCCTGTGGTATGTCTTTACTCTGTAGCCTTAAGTACATAGTCTAGGTCCTTTAGGGTCTTTAAACACATATTTTAGAGTGGTAAATATACTAGACACCAACACTTAATAAACAGAAAGAGAAATAAATAATAGTTTTTGACTGTTGTTGAATTAAAGGTCTAAAAGAATCGTATTTTTTTTGTATAACTGGGTAGATAAGAACACTGATTCATAATGGCACCAAAAACACGCAGAAACTCGACTAGATAAGGTCACTTGTAACACCAGTTCAGGGGTCAGATTTAAAAGTTCAGATTATTATTATTATTTTTGTTTTTTTTTGAAGACTCGAACCAGATTTTTTTTTTTTTGGGTGGACTGTGATCATTAAGCGCTTCTCTTGCCACCTGAGCCATGTAATAGCTCTTGATTGGTGGCGTTTGATTGAGTCACCTGTGGAAGATGTACCACTTAGACTGGTGAACAGTGGTTGATGCGGTCTTCTGGACACGGGTACTCACTCAACGGTCACAACAAATTTCTGTATGTTGTTTCCCCAGTTGACATAAACAAACTTCTCTTTCCGATTTTTCTGGAGACAACAAAAGTTTATTGGTCTTCTCACGACTCGAAAGACGTTTCTTTCTGGTCCCTTACTCGTCGCAACAGTTGTTTTAGGTACTATTCTACTTTTGACCCAATAAGTCAGTGTTTTCACAAGTTCAGGATTGTAACACATTTAGCGACGCCTTGCAGGGATGTGTGAGGGTCAGTAACCTAACCTATATCGTAAACATCTTCCTTATATGTTTCCTTTTAAGAGAGTTATTAAGTTACCGTCTGTGGCTACTTGTGTGTGTGGTCGAGGCGGCAACACTTGTGATGTTCACATGTGTGGTGGTGGTGAATATTATTTGTGTGTGTGTGTGTGTGTGTGTAGGAGTGTGTACGCTGGTGTTGTGATTTAGCCGGGACCAAGATCTTTTCAGTTTTACAATATATCGCCACGTGTGTGTGGGAGGCTTTGGAGGTGTTTGGAAGGCACTAGGTGTGTTTGGGGACGCCATTGTTATTAGTATTCACTTTTATATGTTCACAGTCACAGGTGTGTGCAGAATACTAACACATGCATGTACACGTGTAACCTTACCTTTACGAAGCCTGATCTCACGCTCACACTCAAGTGAACGAACTCGCGTGCACAGTGGAATATTTATCATGATAATATAGATAAACGGTAAAGATGTAGTGACGCAGACTACCCCAGCCTGTGGTTAGAGTACGGTTTAACATATCTTGATTTAACCTCTGATTCGTTTGAACAACTTTAAGGATTTTAATTTGGTTAACGCCAGACGATTTTATTCAGCTGGGGGGGGGGGCTTAGCCATCAGGGGATCAGGGGGGTTAAAGCCTCTAAAGTCCAGCCTGAGACATTTTTATATAAGAAGACTCTATTAATTTTTTTTGGTAATAACAAACCTGACCTTTTACCAGATACTTGTAATCCTCCGCGTCTAATTTCTTAAAGGGAATGTCGACCCATAACGTACTGTACATGTAACTAACGCCAGTACGAGCACTCAGGAACGTTTGGCATTCTCCTCCACGATAAGATGTTGTGTGTCGCGAACAGGAAATAGACACTCTAAGCTTAGCACTATCTTGTAAGGACACACAAACCGCATCTCCTGTGCACTTGACTCACACACAGACACACACACTTCTAGTAGTGATTGTAACCCCAAGGAGTGAAGGAAGTGTTTGAGGTATAGGAGGTGTTTCTGTACAACGCCCCGTGAAGGCTTTAAGATGTGGGGTGGGGGGTGTGGTGGGGGAGGGGGTCGGGGAGAGAGGAGAGATGTGTGTTAAAGCTGAGGATTTTATAGTGGACAGAGGTAAAGGTAAGCCGGGCTGTGGTGCAATGATGATGAGGTTTATGTTAGCTTTTGGGTTATAATTGTCCTTACCTACTTCAACACCCGCACCTCATTTTACACTTATCTGAGTCCTTCCTCATGTCTTGCCTTCAACCCAGCCCCAACCTAACCCCGAGAACTATCATTACCCAGAACACTCGGTCACATAAGAAAGTACATATCAATCATACAGACACAAGACTTGTTTAACAGTTAACAGTCCAGTAATTCTCCAGTCAGTTGTGTGTGATCGTTGTATATACAGTTCATTAAAAATTTGGGAAGAGCGTCACATATCGTTGTATAGTTCAGCGGGATTCGAGGTTTGGTTTTAAGAAAGGTGTTTTTTTTTTAAGTAGCTGACATCATTGTCCCCCCCCTCCCTCCCTCCCTCCCTCCATTCCCGTGAGCTATTGAATAAATTATCGGTTTTATATAAGGAATTTTAGTCTTCGTTTTAACTCTTATCTACGAAATTAATCTGTGATATTAATCCTTCCAGCACTTACGACTTAACCCCTTGATTACGATGAATTTTAACCCCTTTGAGTACTTGCGTGTCGTCGTTTAAAGATAACAGGTTATATCGCCTCTCATCATCTACATCACGTAATAGATGCATTTAATTGAATTATCTGTTATCATGTTATCTCCGTCGGGGTGTTAAGAGGCAGAGTGTAGTGTAGTTTGACTGTGTTTATCTCGTCCTTCAGGGGTTGGGAAGTGTGTGTGTGTGTGTGTGTGTGTGTGTGTGTGTGTGTGTGTGTGTGTGACTAGGCCTTTTTTCGTTCTTTCACACACACATTAAAAGGGAGAAGTCACTGGCCGTATCAGCTTTTACTTTCACCGTAATTTACCTCACTTAACATAGCGTTGTTTGAGGAAATAACCAGAGAGCCATGGTGTAGTGTAGTGTAGTGACAGTGTAGTGTAGTGTAGTGTAGTGTAGTGTAGTGTAGTGACAGTGTAGTGTAGTGACAGTGTAGTGTAGTGTAGTGACAGTGTAGTGTAGTGTAGTGTAGTGTAGTGTAGTGTAGTTTAGTGTAGTGTAGTGTAGTCCTCGTAGCTTATGTCACCTTAAGACTAAGCCGACCAGCTGGAGAAAGTGGTCGTGTTAGTGCTGCTCCCCACATTCCCTCCCTCCTTCTACGTTCCTCCCTCCCCTCCCCCTTCCTTCCTCCTTCCCTCATTGCTCTTTCCTTCTTCCAGTTACAATGCTTATCTCCCTTCATTTTCTCCCCCCTCCCTCTCCTCTCTCCCCTCCCCTCCCCTCTAACCCTCCCACCCCCAAACTTTCCCTCCCTGAACTTTACTTTCCTCTTTCTCCCCTCCCCCCCCCATAACTCCGGGTTACTCAAAGAGACCATCGTGTTCTCTCGTTCACTTTGTTTCCAGTACTTCCCCGTGTAGTCCAGTACTTAGCTGCGTATTTCTGTATCTTCTTGTGTAGCGGTGGCCAGATGACTTAACAGTTATCAAGGTGTGTGGTGAGGTGGGAAGTTACTGTTGTTTTCCGGGAACCAGTTTGTCGAGTGGTCCAGGCCCCAAGATATCACCTGGCTGTTGCCCCCTCATGGTTGTAGGTGAGTGTAGGAGGTGACCAGGTGTAGAAGACATTAGGTGACCAGGTGTAGAAGACATTATTACAAGTGTGTGGAGGCGTGTGCTTCAGGTTCCTCACTCAATGGGTGTTGTGGTAGCGTCAGCCCCTAGCTCCCTCCGCCAGGGGCACCTGACACGCTAGCTGCCTCACGGTCTCGTTAAACACCTGTTGGGAATGGTTGTCACGTAGTAATTTTCTTGCGTTGTGTTGCTGGCCAGATGTGTTAGTAACAAGTAGTAATGTGGTGTTAGTTATGTTCATCCTGTTTGGTGTCATCTTTGGGGTAATTTTTGCACCTCATCTCACCCCACCCCACCTCACCTCACCTCACCTCCTGCCTATCTCCCTCCTCACCTCCCTTTATATATAACAGTAAAACCAGCAAATAAATTAAGCCCACTATTCATTACGACCTCCTGGTGACTTAGAATTATGTGCATGTGAATATATATGTATGAATATCTCAACTAATGGTCTTCACTACGCTTAGAATTATTAGTTAAAAGTTTAAAACGTCTTACGCCCCCAACACACTCAAACGCATGTCACAGGTCAAAGTTTTCTACACAAGTACACGTTGGGTTTGATGTTGTCTACAGTACTTGAACGTGTGTTATGGTTAATGTTGTACTTTATACTAGAACGTTATGCTGAAACCGCGAGCAGTGTGTCCTTGAAGCCTTAAGAGAGTGGTCACGGTCTAGTTGGATTGGCTATTTTTTCCCCCGCTCTGACTCTTTCCTGTAACCTTCTGTATTCTTATGACCTGCTCAACCTAGTGTAGCCA